TCTCTCTCTCTCTCTCTCTCTCTCTCTCTCTCTCTCGCTCTCTCATGCTGTCTCTCTCTCAGTTTCTCTCTCTCTCTCTCTCTATTGGTCCGGTAGAAAGAGAGGCGGTTTTAGAGGCGGTGATTCACAGTAAGCGGAGTGCCTCGGGTGGGAGGCCTCGGCGTATGGGCCTCGACGGGGACCCCTCTGCGGGGAGCTCGACGGGGACCTTCTTTGCAGGGTCCTAGAGGGGCGTCTCGGTGGCGCCGGCGGCCTCAGCGTGGAGAGTCACGCTCACGCCTTGCGCTGCGCAGAGGGTCCGAGTCACTGACCCCCGGGGGCGGCCCGCGGCCGCGGGACCCCCCGCGATAGCCGGCGACAGCCTCGGCTGATCCCTCCGATCCGATCCGCCTTATTTCCCCGGATCCACAAATGAGTCCACACCGGGCGCGTCTCTGCGGCTTCCGGTACGCCGAGCCGCTTGAAGCTGTGTCGCGCCCGCGGAGACCGCGGGGCACCACCGGCACTCGCGAACCGAGCGCGCACACACACTGTCGGGAACTCGTCGGGCACTCGTCGCGGGAACTCGTCGGGGACACGTCGGTAAAGTGTCCAACAGGCTCGCGAACGGGATACACTTACGAGACAACTGTTCGCAAAACTCCTTCAAGATAAACACACACACGCACAAGAGCACACAATTGGGAACTTTAAAGTTCTGGCCCTGGGTACTCACCAGTGCTCTGCTGCTCACGCCGATCACGCCGCTCCCGCACTCACGGCCGCGCTCACGCTCACGCGCACGCTCACACGCACGCTCGCAGTACATGGCTGCCCGGTCCGGCCCCCTGCACTGCTCTGCACTGCTCCGCTCCGTCTGCACATGCTCAGCCTCCAGCGCCGACTGCCCGCCCGGCTCCGGCTCCGGCGGGTAACTCCGGCGGGCGCCCCGCCCGGGAGTGGGGGGCGCGGAGGGCGGGCTGCGTGCGAGCGGGAGAGAGAAGGAGAGATAGCTAAACTCGGACTTGTCAAACGCACTGTATTGTCCTTATTGCGGCAGTTTAGTATTCTCCGCATTTAATAAATTCTATACTTTTTTTGAGTCAAAAATCGGTGGAAAATATTAAAGTTTATAACCTTTGCGGCACGGCAAATGTTCATTATACTATAATTGACACATCCTGGAATCAGACATTTAGTAGGTTTTGCTGCGGCCGGCAAACCTCATCCCTGCGAGCAGGCCCCTGGTAGTCCACCGCAGGGCGCTGGCTGTGCGGCGGCCGGCCCAGCCAGCGCCCGTCAGGCGCCCTGAAGGCTAGGCAACCGAAGGGCAGCGCCGCGCGGCGGCCGGCCCAGCCAGCACCTGTGAGGCGCCTGGTAGGCAACCGCAGGGC